ACTTTTGCTTTGGTAGCCAGGAGGTTTATTTATATTGCAGATGTCGGGGTAACAAACCAAAATTTGAGGAATTTAAAGACTTCGTGCAGAGGGTACAGAAAACTGAGTACTTGATTGCAAACAGAAAAGGTAAATTGGGAAAACATTTAAAAAAATGGGGAAAATTTATGAAAATTGTAGCAACGACCCAGCATATCAGCATGAATTCCTGAAAAAATTGTAATATTTTTGTGAAGACTTTGTACTTGTTGTGCAATGTAATTTTTTTTGGTACACATACATGTACATTTGTAACTACGTAAAGTGCTTATGTAAATTGACTCAATAAAAAATGTTTTAAATATAAATACAAAAAATATGCACATATCACAACTCTAAACTAATCAGGTCTGAGCATTGTCCCAGTACACCCCATGTGCCTAGTTTCATATATACATATACACAGATAGGGTAGCTCAAGATTGTGAAAGAATGTTGATTGACTATTTACAAGCAAAATCTAACGTTTTAGTATTGATGGCAGCAATTTGCAAAATACTACATTAAAATACTAGGATACAAGAAGCAAGAAGTTCAAAAACTTACATCCATCTTTCAATCTGGTATCCAGTGGAAAGGCATAAACTAAATTTTTGGCTTTATGATTAAAATATTTTTCAAATTTGGTTCTTGCTAAGACGATACAGTCTTCCCATTTGTGAGGCTGTTGCTTCAGCATCTTAAGTGCTTGTAGTCCGCCTTCAAGCTGACTTCCTTCTGAAAATTTCTGAAATGAAAAACAAATTTTCTGTACAATAATATGGCTTTACACACACTTGTCTAAGTATTTGATTTAGCTGGATCATGTGACATACGACCATTTGGTGTTCTACAATAAGCAATGCATCCTAGCTTGTTTTCTTGGAAAGGACTGGCAAAAATGCATGGAGAATAATCAGCAATGACTATTTCTGTCAATTTATTGATTACCCAATGACCTAAATATACAGGACTTTTAATATGTATAATATATATTTTAATATTAGTACATGTATGAGCTGTTTATGAGTTGTTTTCTCTCTCAACCTTTTCCTGGAAATAGTGCATTTCAAAGTCAATTATAAGCATTTTTTTTAGTATATTTTTGTGCTTAGGTGATAGTTCTTTGAATTTCACTGTTGCCTCTCCTGACCTTTTTATGTGCAAATTGCAAGTCCAAATACAGACATATGTTACTTTGCATCCAAGGTTCTGAAAACAGCAAAGCGCATTCAAGAAGACCAGCTTATACTTTGATAAGATAATTATTTTTAAATATTTATCTATATTTACACAATGCAGCTCTAAACTCTAAAGTATTAATCAATCATGAGGTCAGGATTTATGGTACCTTGCACAATTAATACAAAAAGCCCTATTATTAAATATTTCTTAGAGAGATAAATGAGTTTTGTGTGTCTTTATGTCTGTCTGCATGTGTAAGCAAAATCTCAAAAACTTCTGAGCGGATTTTGATCAACTTTACTACATGGGTACCTTGGTTGGAGTAATGTGCAGACTTAGTTTTAGGACCAAGTCCGTGCATATTAAGTAGCTAATTTGCATATTATCTCATTTCAGTCTGTGTAAGCAAAATCTTCTCACCTCTAATGCCATTGCCACTCCATTGACTGTTGGGAATTTTCATTTTCTAGTTATTTTCTTATACATGTAAAACAACAATGATTGCATATACATGTACTCTGTATTCACATGGGAGCTTTGCAAAGTCTAGCTTTGATTTAGTATTGTAATATATGAGAAATCTCATCATAAAACATTCCATACACTGATTTTAACAGCTTCACAAATGTATTGTTTACAAATGCATTGAATTTGAAATTTGGCGACCACCATTAAAAAGTTAAAACTTACCTGTAGGGCAGTCTCTGGGGAACCATTAGTTTGCCAGAATTTAGTAAATGCAGCTGGCTTCTGAGAGAACAGACTTTCAAACTAGGATAAAATAAAGACACAACAGTGAATGTCAATTCAGAAATAAAAGACTGCCATTCTACTAGGGATCAAATTGCAAAAAAAAAAAACAGAAAAAAAAGCAAGCCAATAATGGTCATCTCGTAGAAGAAGATGGAAATCTGCAAAATCAGCAAATTTAACACGAAAAATGTCCACCAGTCATGCAGCGATTTTTAACCACAAAGTCCACATCTCTGCAGTACATGTACATTATTCGTCTTTCCTGCATTGAGTAAAATTAAATCGGACTAAAAATGCATATTCTGAATCATGTTTGACAAACAGATCCACAAACATTAACAACATCTGCATGGAGAATGAGACTCAAATATTCATGTTCTCCTCTTCAACATTCTGTTGTTGCTTGCAAAGAAATGAGCCTGCATGAAAGATGTGATGTATATCAAGAGAGTGTTTTAATACATATTATAAGCAAATCATAGACAACCAAAACCAACATTATTATACCTTATCCCTAGCCCATTGTATCGTGTGTTCAATAACAGCTGGGAAGGACTTTAAAGTACAGTATGGAACATCTTTATCAGGTGGGTCCTGCTGACTGGCGTATGACTCGGTCAAATGTGGTATGATGACTTGTACATGACCTTTAGCTCCCATAGTCCCAGATTCCAGTAATGCTCTTTGATTGGTTACACAGCGACTGAAATAGAAATTGTTATGTTGATAGTAGCATATTTGGAATTGGGTGGCTTATATTACTACAAATATACTATTCTCGTCGGCTAAATACCTACACATGGTGGCGAGTTTGCATATTAATAATATCTAATTTTCATATTTATTTGGATATAATAGAAATAATTAGCATAACAGTATACTCCATTGTTTTCTTGAATGTTCAGAGACGAAACTTGAAGCACTACAGTCATCGCACCACATTGTGTTCAGTATGGAACCCATAGAGACGTATACAGCACGTCATTGTATAAAGAATTGCAATTGTTTTAGTTTTGATTTCATTACACAATTTTGGCATTTATTAGCAAAAAGCTGTTTAGTATACTGTAAAATGACTAATTTTCACTGGGTTTAAATTTCACTGATTTACCATTTCAGGCATAATGAGTGGGTTTTAAATTCACGGTTTCGTCATTTAGATAATGTGTTCTATGCTAAATTTTACATATTCACTGTGTTTTAATTCAGCGCATTTTTCCAGTCAGCGAAATAAGCTAAATTAAAACCCAGTGAATAATTACCCCCTTTACAGTATTATTTAAAAGAAAAGGAAACATGCAATTAAATCAGACTAGACACTTCAGAATCAGACATGGATCAGCAGAACTGGTGTAAACGGCAGCACATATGATTTATATACAGTCTTTTATTAATTGCTCTAAAATGGTATAATTTTCTGCAATCACTTAAAGTAATAGAATTTTTCTGATCACTGAGATCCAGCGTTATGTGTGAAATTGAATGTAAAAACAGGTCAAACAAAGTCATAGTATTGTTACAGTAGTGGTGTCAAAACATTTGGGATTCGACAAATGCAAAAATATTTTTTGGGTATTCAATGCTTAATTATAATTTTCTATACATATTTCATGATTGTCAATTTTGCTGGAGTAAGGGTATCTTAATGTCATACTTTGCTCTGAACACTCAGCATTTCAAAAATGAACTATAAAGAAAGAAATTCAAGTTCAAAATCAAATCATTTGATTTTTGCAGCAGATGTATCGTCTTTCATGCATTTCGCAAGATCTTTCAGTGAACAGAAAATCCCCTATTGTTTTTAACCTTTTTACCATTAGTTCCCTCTTTTCATCAAAAAGTAGTCCTGTTTATAGTCTGCACTTTCCTTCTGAAGATTGGGACGAAAATAGCCTAATTATTTGAGTGAAAACTGAAAAGCGACTAGCTCTAGAGTTGGAGTTCATTTCCAGTAATATTGAAGAATACAAGAAGAAAGTGCAGAAAAATTTGGGCAAGAAAGTCTGGTGATTAAAAGGTTAAATTAGAAGGCAATGAAAATACAATATGATACAACAAAGTTCATTCTTTGCAGGGAGCTACATGTTATTTTTACTACTTAATATGTCAGATTTCAATCTAATCACTTAAAATTGTTCATTCTGTTATGAACCATCTAGTTCTACTACACACAAAAATGATAACATAAACCCAGATTCTGCCAGGTATATACCTAATGTAACATATTTGTTAACAGTTGTCAAAATAAACAAGCATGAAACTATTTGGGACCATATAAATACAGTTTCCTGACGTTTCAAGTAGTGAGAGTATAATGTACAAGATACATAAAGAAATATACAAACTAAATTTGTCCTTGAACAAACTTTTAGGCAATGGTGCCCTTAGAATCCATCAGGCGGCAACATTTACCATTATATATTTTTTTCTACTTAAAAATCTAATTTTACATTATTATTGTTTTTGTCATCAATGACCTATTACTCAAAATCCTAATGACAATCTTATTTGGCAAATTGGGCCAAAACCATGCTTTAGTGTACAGTAATAATTACAATTACATATTTTTATTAAATTAAAAGATATTCATATATTAGAATACTTACATGTATTGATACTATTCACTAATATTTATTTTCATTATTAGTTTAGAAATTGGCTACTGAAAGGGAATGATATTAGTAAACACATACACATACTGTATAGGAAACTTGATGAAGAAAAAAAGAAATCAATACATCTGCTATGTATTATTAAATAAATATTCATACACATCACAGAAACAGAATAGTGCCCAATAACCCATTAGTAGAAATCAATGCTCACAATATTTATACAGTAGTCATTTTCCCATCTATCCTATTAGTTAGAAATCACAATTTCAATAATGTTGGGAATTAAATTTAAAACATGCAATTAGACAGGGCTCTAAACTTTCCTGGCTGGGATACCAAAAATGTGTGCTCTCCTGGAGAACTGATTTTTGTAGTTATCTACAAAATTCAAGAATCAAGTTGCATCAGTTGTTGTGGCAGTTTAAAAAATCAAGATTGTATACAATAGGCACAAACCAAAATATTGTTGCGCTAATTTATTTTGTTTACAAAATGTGAATTTCTTTTTACCAAAGTACAAATTCCCTAACTGTATAGTAAGACATTTTTTTACAATTACTAATTTAAAACCAATTTATTTTTCTCTTACATCATTGGTGTACCAGGAAATTAGCATAATTAGTTCCGTCATAAAAATCAATGTGCGTCAGAAACACGTCATATGGGCTTTAATAATATAGGGCACACAGGGCTCTAGTTCTGGAAAGGTCGATTTAATTTAACTATTCATTATTGCAAACTAAATAGAGAAAATTCTTCATATATAAAAAAAAAAAAAATTATAGCCCCACCCTACCAACATATTATCTCAGTATTTAAAAATATTTAGGTGATTTAAGATAACAATGTCAAATGGATCATAAATAAATAATTAAAATATCCTTTAATATTTTATTATAATAGTGCTGTCATTTGTTACACACTTACCTATCCACATATCGTCTAGCCTCTACATTGTCTAATGCATTAACTATTAGATCTTGTCTTGCAAAGAACTCATCATTGTATACTTCATGCTCCGTCTGGGGACATACTACAAGAGACAATACAGAGAATGACAATTATTAGTCTGAAGTAATCTTATGAAAACTATCCTATCTAGAGTAACTTACACCACAACACTTAACTATTTCACCACCAGACTGAGCAAGTTTATTGATTCACTAACTGACATAACCATAAAACGTCAGAGCGTGTGAACTGCGGAAATCAAGTTATTAGTTCACATGTGAGTTGATGATTTTTTGACCCAACACTAGAGTACTACTCTGAACAACTTATAATATTCTGAATCACAACAGAACATGTTTTTAAATATTTAGAAGTGTTTGGCCAAGAAAAAGGTTTCTGTTTGTTCTCCAAAATCAACTATCCCCGGTAAGTGGGTGGTTTTTCATGAAGTCTGAATTTTTCTTTCAAAAATTCTGACAAACAAATTTACAAGAAAGTGCATAGTTACTAGAAATATAAAACAATTTATTAATCACTGATGTTACATCATGTAGTAAGAGTGGCCTACACATCAAAACATGCACTAAAAATTGAGAATTGTCGTATTTTGTACGCAGTTCAAAATTGTTAATTATTCATTTGCATACTTGTCATTTGCATAACTTCGTTTGTTTGTTTAATTTCTCCACTGCGCATGTTTCTTGTAGCCATTCGCTTCGTTCTGTGTACATGCACTGTTTACATCGCACGCTGTTCGTGCCCAGTCATTTCTGTTTGGGTTATTTTCAATTTACTTTCTCGCTATGCCAAGAAGT